CGTAGCCGACTGTGCGCTCTCACACAAACATTTTAGCTGCGCTGCTAAGGGCCTTAAAAACAGATCCATCCATTTCTTTTTTTACATATTTATAATTTTATGTTTTACAAAATAGAACTGCGGTGATAGTCTTGGAAACATGAATATTTTTCCATACAACAGGTTCCATTTTCCAGACTTTTCCAGACCTGGAAATTTACTAAATCAAATTCCATACTTTCCATACTTGCGTAGGAACCCTGTGTTTAGGAAGAAAACCCTTGTTGCTTTGGATGTAAACTGAAGGTCCGAAGACCAGACAGATGATCCAAGAACCTGAGCTGGCTGCTGTTTAGGAGCAAGGTTCTCAGGTTGTAGAGATTTTTATCAAAATGTTCCACAACTCAGTAACAGAACTCTGTAAGAAGAAACCAGTTGCGCTCATGAAAACATAACTGTCGAACACCACAAAGACAAACTGCATGAACCTGTATGTGTAAATGAAGTGGGAACACCCTGCTAGATGTCTGATCTAGAACCAGCTCATCTGTATCTGCGGGGACTAGGAAACAGAATGGTTCCTAATCCAGAGCACAGGTGGGCCTCTGTACCTTCTCCACCTCGGCCTTCTTGTCATTCAGCAGCTGCTGGGTTCTCTGGTACGCCTCGCTGATCAGGGTTCTGACCTCTGTGTCAATCAGTCGAGCCGTGGCTTCACTGTACGGCTTCTCCAGAACCATCTCTCCCTGACGGGGGAGGTCGAAGGAGACCTGACCCACCTTCGCATTCATGCCAAACTGAACAATCTGCAGGACGACACAGGGAACAGGAGACCCGAACCTGAACGACACAAATCACTCACACCAATCTAATGCTTGGGGATTTTTCCACGTCTAAGACCTCTGACCTGTGCGTAGGCGCTCTGGGTGACCTTGCGGAGGTCGTCCTGAGCTCCGGTGGTGATCCGTCCGAAGAAGATCTCCTCGGAGACTCGTCCCCCCAGAGTCATGCACATGCGGTCCAGCAGCTGCTCTTTGGTGTACAGGTACTGCTCCTTGGGCAGATACTGAGCGTATCCCAGCCCCTTCCCTCTGGGGATGATGGACACCTGCACAGGCAACAACATCATCATCCATTAGCTGCTGTAACATCACGCTGCCTGTAGCTCAGCGCTGATCTGAGTCCACACCAGACTGCATTCAGGATCTAACTGGTGTCTTCATATCTGTGTCTGTCGTGTCAGTAACGTGTGAGCCACTGGACACCGTGAATTTCCCCAAGAGGATGACTAATCAATCTATCTATCTATCAATCCATCTGTCCATCCATCCATCACGTGTTCAGTGTCACAGAAACCTTCAGCAGAGGGTCAGCGTGCTCCAGGAACCATCCAGCAACGGCATGACCGGCCTCGTGATACGCCACCGTCTTCTTCTCCTCCGGCTGCAGAACCTGAGTCTTCTTCTCCAGACCTGCAGCAAAACCAGGACAGACAGCGGTTACTCACCCTGCACCTGAGTCCTCCTGATCTGGACCAGAATAGGCCTGACCAGGACCAGAGTCCTCCTGACCAGGACCAGAGTCAGCCTATTATTATATTTTCATAATCGAGTATTCTATCGGTTATTCTAGCAATGAACTGAGTAATCAAAGTGTTTTTAAATCATTTCAATAAGCTACTTTCAGAGTCGTACATCGCCATATCTGCTGTTCTGTTGCTCTCCCTGGTGCTCGCCGATTTCGTCTCCATCTCCGTTTTGCATTCGGCGCTGGTCACATGCGTGACAGCACCAGAAACAAAAGTGAGCGCGCTGTGCAACACAAGGGTCCAGCCGGGCCGACATGCGGCTGCATCGTGCAGACACGTAGCACACAGGGGGTGACATGCTAGCAGGCAGATGACCTGAGGAATGGTTTCAGTCTGTAACCACTAAGTGTTCTGGACTTTGGGCTAAAACTCATCAAATACAGAGTACAGTGAAACTGGACAGACGGTCCTGTTTGGGTCTCAGGCAGGACTCTGATCTGGACTCTAACCTGGACTTTAGGACTGAAGAGGGTTTATGAAGGATCCGTGGTACCCCCCTGAGAACAGCAGCGTCTGAGCCTTGAGTCGACATGTTTGTCTGCTCAGTTAAACCACATCTGAAAAACAGGTCCAGATCTGGTTTCACCATGCTGATCTGGATCTTGGACCAAGTCCAGGTCTGCTTTCATGGTCCTGGTCTGATCTGATATCATGGTCCAGGTCTGGTTTCATGGTCCAGTTCTGATCTAGTGTCATGGTCCAAGTCTGGTATCATGGTCCAGGTCTTGGGTCTGGTATCGTGGTCCAGTCCTGATACCATATTTCAGGTTTTGGTCTGCTATCTAAGTTTGGTCTGGTTTTATCGTCCAGTTCTGGTTTCATGATCCAGTTCTGGCCTGGTGTCACGGTCCAGGTCTGGTCTGGGTGTCTCACCTCCGATGACCCTCTCGACGGCCTGCTCGAAGTGTTTCTGGTTGATGGCGTCTGAGAGGTGTCGCGCAGCGATCAGAGCTGCCTCGTTACAAACGTTAGCAATGTCTGCACCTGAGAGGCAGAGAGCAGGGAGAAAAAACGCTTCGATTAGAGTTATTGATAATTGATCACGTTTAAATACATTCCAGTGGACGTTCGACCAAACACTGATGAAGCCACGTTTAACCAGTGATGCACAACTTCTGCCTTAACGATGGTTCAGCTACATCTGTCACTTGATCATAGAATCGTGGTCCCAGTAGTCTGTGGCTCATCTTTTACGCATGAGTTCTGCTTGGAGGTCCTGAACCTCCTCAGAGTCTCTGTCATGGTCCCGTTGCTGCTAAACTCCCACAATGCTCTCTGCTGCCACCATGAGCTGTAGTCTGAGAGACGCCTCCTCTGGTCTCTACAGGATTAAACAGTGAGAGGCTCCACCTGGTGGAACAACCAGGTACTACAGCTGGTCTATGGTACATTGACATCATGACCCTCGTCTGCTGCCTTGGGGCCTTTCACACAGGACGTGGTGTGCTGTGCTCGGTATGGGATTCAGCGCACAGCTGACGGGGCTAGCACGCACACTAGGCGGAGTTTTCAAAACTTCGTCACAATTCTCGAAAGTGGGAAGCTTTCCGTTTGTTGCAAAGACGTATTTGTCCCGTGCTAAGAAGCAAGCATTAGCAGGAGCCTTGTTAGAACGAAGGCTTTCCTCCCCGAGATTACATACACCTGCATGTTGTGTCTTATAATTCAGGAGATTCAAACACACGCAGCACGTTGCCCTGCCTGCAGGTTTCCATCGGCCAGCGGTCACACGTCACAGAGCTCTGACTGCGGTCTCACTGTCTGAACCGGCATGAATGGGTTTCAGAGCGCTGGCGCTGTGTTCTGTGTGAAAGGCCCGTTATTGGTAAATATATTTTTAATCTATTACTCATTATCATCCTTAATAAAGACTAATTAAAACACTATCGTTTCCATCACATGTTATTGTTTCATTTTATTGTATAACAGAAAAAGTTCAGGGAAATAAAATGTAAAACCTGTCCTCAGGCAGCTTTTGTCTGTTTCTAAAAACAGTTACTGAGCTTCACAGAAATGGAAACACCTTTTCAGAACAACAATTAAGTCATGACTCAGTCTGACAGCATCAAACATGGCCGACAGCAGCTGACTTTGGTGAAACTTCAAACTTTAAATTGAACAGTTCCATGGAACCAGAGTGAATGATGTTGGTCAGCTTCTAGGATGAACATCACGAAGAAACATGAGCTTACCTGAGAATCCAGGTGTGAGGGCGGCCATTTTCTTGGCCAGAGAGTCTTTGTCCATGTCGGCTTGCAGCTTCAGAGGACGCAGGTGGACTTTGAAGATGGACGCCCGTCCTTTGATGTCAGGAGGGCCTGAGGGCAGAACGTCAGGTGAATTTAACCTGCATCCATCTACCTGTGTCACGTTTACAAACCCAGTCCTGATGGGTTCTTTAACCTTTGGGTCACTATATTGAAAAATCAATCAGTACGTCCCACCTCACACCCCCAGAAGTTCTACCTTCAGACTGTGAATGTTCCAGAGGTCCAGGTCCTTGAAGTCCACAGAGGAGGGTCCAGATTGATCACTTTAATGGACTTTTTCCATCATTTCTGAGCCTCAGAACTTCATCAGTACCGCAGATAGACACATGACATTTAGGAGGAAGAACACATCTGGGTTCTGATAGAACCTTACACTGCTGTACTGATGAAGTTCTGAGGCTCAGAACTGATGGAGAAAGTCCATTAAAGTGATCAATCTGGACCCTCCTCTGTGGACTTGAAGGACCTGGACCTCTGGAACATTCACAGTCTGAAGGTAGAACTCTGGTCAGTAGATAGAGGTGCTGCAGAATCAGAACCAGATGTTCTGAAGAGGTCCGGGGGAGATTTGGTTGGTTTCAGATGGAATGACTCATATTTTGCCCTTTAATACCCTGTAAACCAGAACCTTCTGTGGTGTCTCACCGATGTAGATCTGTCTGTCAAAGCGTCCTGGCCTCATCAGCGCCGGGTCCAGGATGTCGGGTCTGTTGGTTCCAGCCAGAACCACCACGTTGGTGGCTGTGTTGAAGCCTGCGGGACAGACAGCAGTGAGACCTCAGGCCTGATCAATATGTGTGATCGATCGGGGGTGAACCCACCGTCCATCTCCACCAGCAGCTGGTTCAGCGTGTTCTCCTGCTCGCTCTGACCGCCAAAGTTGCCCCGCCCCCTCTTCCTGCCCACGGCGTCGATCTCATCGATAAACAGAATGCAGGGAGCGTTCTTCCTCGCCATGACGAACAGGTCCCTCACCTGCACAGGTAAGGACATCAGCACCACACTGCTACACCTCCTGCTCTCCTTCTACACCTCCTACACCTCCTTCTCTCCTCCTATACATCCT